GGATAACTTGCACAAATTGTAGAGGCCCTTGAAGTGAAGAGGAAAAATGAGCTATGCCCCAAGCTATCCTGCAGACAACAATGCTCTTAACGAATAAATCACTCCGTAAACCGATCCTGAGGTAAAATAATTTTATAGTCTTAATTCAAGTTCGTCAAGAATTAAAAGGCCTTTGTCCTCATAAGCGTCCCAAAAAGTGAATTATAATGTTAACTGGAAGGGCTGGAGTAAAAATTTCATCTGATCTGGCCGAACTAGGCTGCCCTAGCTTAAAATTGTCATATGTATTGCCATTATGCATGCAGCATATACTAAGGTCCTAATATATAATAATGTTGTATATATATTTATTAATTTATATGTATATATATATATATATAATAAGAAGCAAACTTTTGAAGGTTCTCTTGCTAGGCTCTCGTCATTGGATCCTTCAATCCTATGAAAATATTGGCCAGATCAACAACAGAGGGCAATCTGGCACTGAGGTGCAGAGAAAGTCGTTGCAAAATTCAGGCTTACTCTTTACTTTATTGAGGAAAGAATCTACAACAGTTCTCATTAAAGCAAGAAAGCTGGGGCATAGTGACGACAACCGGTTGTTAAGCGGTAACTGCGGCATACAGATGTCTAATGATAACTTTTTTTACTGGCTTGGATAGATTCGCTTTTCAACTGGCTTCTTAGTTGGCTTGTTCTCTCCAGTTGACAGTCCGACAACGTGTCCGTGCAATTTTCCGCACACTACAACTCGTTTCGGAGGAGGCATTATCCGTCTGAATCTCCACCTTATTAATTAATATCAGTAGATTTTGAATATCAAATTGAATCTTTAATTGTGATGTAGTAAATAAGAGTTGAATTTCACACATGATGATAAACAGTTTCATTCCATTAATACTTTATAAGCTGCTTCTCTATGTTAAAGAGACGGAGTAGGAAATAGCCACAAAATGATTAAATTACCAACATAAAATGGTAGAAACCAACTTCTGGAATGTAGTCTTGGAGACATACGATGGTGACCACAAAGTCCTCAAGTTGGATATGGCAATTCTTGAAGAGTGGAAATTGAAATTACGGCAAAGCATTTGAAACAGTTCCTCAACAAAAGTAACACGTTAAATACTAATTTCAGGTTGATAGCTGAATTTATCCCACTTAAGTATGCAAACCCCATAATGTCAATGAATGCCACTTAGCCTTTAACCACAAAAGATATTCTTATTTAGTTTGGACTGCAGTTTCGATTTCATCGGAGTCTCATCAGCTCTAGAAACAGGATTCGAAATATTTGCAACGCATATACCTATCTACCCCACAGGGAAGATGTGAATTTCAGTGTAAGCCAGGCCTCTCCCATGCCATATTTATAGTGGTCTTATCGAAAATCAACAACAGAAGAAGATACTTATATTCGCCGAGGGTAGGCTTTAAGCTTGTCAATAGCACTTGAAAAAATACTGTAACCTGTCTGGGTAGCTTAAGATCACGTTAATACTGATAATAATTATATTGAAATATACGTACTACTGATATAGGTAAAGTAGGAAATTGGTATATGCAATCCAAGATCGTATATACGAAGAAAAGGCGAGTTTCGATTAATTTCCCGAAATACCATGTAGAGCCTTTTTATTTCGTATTAAATTGTGAAACGAAGAGACTCATAGACCGATCTTAACAGAAGACGACTGCCGAATCCGATTGTACTGCAATCGTTTGACTTATAACGACGTTCAGGCTGACGCAGTCCACGACACCTCTCTTGTTTCGAATGGAAACGCGCTAAGCTTCCGTCCGTCGTATGACAGACATCATCAGAGCAAGTTATCATCTTTACAACCATATTCAAGCCAACGAGTCAAAATACTCACCTGCTCATACCTAAATGCTGCATATATACGCTATGAAAGCATTTAAACACTTACGGACACACTTACATACTTCGAAGTTGATACATGACGTGAACTTGCCAAATCACGTTATGCCTAATCGAATAACTTTGATATAGGGTATATACATATATATATATATATATATATATGAGGTCTGCTGGTAGTCTCATAAGTCATTATAAACGAAAAACATTCAGTATTCTGGATGAGTAATTAAACTGGTCTTGTTAAGTACTCAAACTTCGAGCCACAGGAGAAATGAGTGAGCTCTGATTTCACTGGGTAAATATTTCATCGTTCCAACCGTCTATAAAGGATATAACGGAGATTATTGAGGTGTAAGTGGTTGCGGTGACAATGTCGAGAATATGGGCGAATGGCAGAATAGCACATTTCAGAGTCTATCCAACCAGATTCCTTCGTTTATTGCGGTGACCTTGATCCCAGTTCCTAAGGCGGACACATTCTTGTCAAACATGAAGATATGCACAAGAGTGGAGACCAGACGATGAGTTGAGAGAGGAAGGAAGAGTGGGCGAGAGAGAGACGAAGAGAGAGAGAGAGAGAGGGAGATTAAGCAAAAGACTAAGCGAGATAGAGGGAGAGAGAATGTGAGGTCGAGATAACCGAGAGGGTTAAGTGGATGGTATGACCTGATTGAGGCATGTTGACAACCGAAATGCTCAAGCGAATAAATGGTACCATCGGCCAGGGCAAATGGCTAATATTGGCGCACGCTCGTCAGTCACCATGACTTGTAATCGGACCTACCGATCTCTGCAGCCTCACCTCGATACCTCGATGGTGACGCTCTACTTTGACATGGCCATCCACCCAATTATCCGTCCACCCACTCAGCCAGTAGACCGGCCTGTCATGCACACGCTATACGCAGGAAAAAATTCTTGCATATACACACAATCCGGTCATGTGGTAGACGCACTCGTCAAGTGAAGGGGTGTACATGCATGCACTAGGCCACACGGGCCACCACCAGGCAGAGATACCTCACAGTTGAGAATACATTTGTCGAGGCGCCACCAAGTTGCTGCACTACTCATGCCATCTAGCCGAAAAAACTAGGTTCGTAGGACTTATTTAGAGTTTGTCGACTACTGAAAAGATATAGGAGTAGGCGAAACGGGTAGATGGTAGTATTGACAAAATTCACCAACTGTGCCTAGAGTGTTGAACCGCTCGTCTTCATGTCTGCTCTGGTATGGCAATATTTAAGTGGTAATCAAGCGACTGAATTGTAATCCCAAGCTCGGCTCAGGAAAGGTTTCTTATCAGGTTTCTTATCAGGTTTCTTATCAGGTTTCTGGCCCCAGAAATGACGCCTCAAACATTATGAAAATGTGTCAGGCGAAAAGTTGAGTTAGTTGAAGCTAAAACGGAGTAGAGGAGATGCGAATCTTCCTTCGGTTTAAACAAGAGCATAGTCACCCTGGGTTACTTAAAGTGAGTTTTGTCAAAATGGTATTTCTTCACAATTTTCGTGAATGAGTCGGTTTTCGAGACTACTACTAAATCAGATAACTGAGTTGTTTTCACTCTTTTCGTTTAAGGTGATGAAGGACTGGTAGTTGAATTTTCCCACAATCATATGAGTAGAGCTGATGATTTTAATTGAATTTCGTATAGTTTTGCTTTCCCTAAAGGTGTTCTCAACCAGATTGGGTTGCAGTTTCGTCCATGACAATGCAGCGTGTGAGCTAGACACGGTAACCACTCCCCCACATTTTCACGAGTGCCCTTGGGTCACAGGGCAGATGAACATTTTCAGAAAGGCCAGGCATTCTCCCATATCACGTGCTTTAGCATGTGATGGCCGAAGCTGTAGTCCACCCTTCTGGGAAAGTTAGGCTCTGTCAAATTCAATGGAAATCCTCAGATCTACTCATGTCATTGTGGGAAAATTCAACTACTACTTCTTCCTCACAATGCCATCTGAGCCGGGCTGGACTGATCTCCAATGTTTTATTAGCATCCTCAATGGGATTTGATACGAGATCGTGAGTTTCTTGGCGATGTCGCTTGTCTATTACACGACAGCGGGTGTCAGTGGGTCACAGGGCGGACGTGACACTCAAGTCCGTATGTTAAATTGAGGAGAAATAAGCATGTACGCTTACTAAACTAGCACTCATAACCCATTAGTTATTAGTATATAGTTCATGTAGGATGCTGCCTGAAATCGTCCTATCAGATAGTTTGCTGTACGAAAAGTGACAAAACCTTCATTATTTTAAATGAACCAGTCAGTTTTCTTGACTGGAGACTTCGCAACAATGAATTCCAGCTCTGATGGTGTTCGTCATTTGACAAGCAAAAACTCAGCCTGCTTTTACCCAAAACGAGAGAGGATGTTTTATGGATGGCGTTGACCTGAATATTGTATTAAAGCCAAACAGCTGCAATGAAACGGGACTTAATCTTCTTATTCTGATGAAATAAGCCTACGAATCTTTTTGTCATACAAAATCATATTCTTCACCTCAATGGTATCTCAATAGATTCATCAAAACTCACTTTTATTTGAATTACTGATAGTCTAAAAAACACTATCAATCGAAAATAACTAACTTTGTAGATTGAAATGGTCTCGAAAACCTATTCATTTACAAAAAAATGGTAAACACGTGTTTTATTGGATATACAGAAAAGCCAAGTTTCGAAGAATTCCTTAGTGTTTAATGGTAGTATGACTTTCCATTCTGAAAGAAAAGTTAATTGGAAGGAATTCGTGAATTGGCCTCACCCGAAACCGAAGGGGGGTCTTTGTGGAGTAAAGATTATTGGATTGTGCAATAAATATGCGTAAAAAAGTTGGATTTCAAGAAATCACTTGCTTCCAAATTTTTGAGCTTATCTTCATTTCTAGTGAAAGGGTTTGGTAGATCCCACCAGAAGACGACGGCGTATTCCTCTTGACAAGATGTCGTTTGGCTTTATTGGAAGATTCTTGTTGACGCTGTTTCCGAGGTAATCTCTGTCGATTCTGGCAAAAACGTGCTAAGCTTTCGTCCGTCGTATGATGAGCATCATCAAAGCAGGGTAGCATTCTTACAACCAAATTCAAGCTAACAAGTCAAGAAAACTTTCTTATCGAACGAGATAACCTCGGAATCAGCGTCAACATGAATGATCGAGTAAAGCCAATCGACAGCAGGTCAAGAGGAATCCGCCTTCGTCTTCTGGTGGGATCGACTTTCGAGTCTCTTCACCAAACATCTTCACTCGAAATGCAAGTAAGCTCAACAATTGTGCGAAGAAGTCTTCGGTTCACCGTCCTGCGACTCAGAGGTTCCTATGCCAATCTTTCGTCTGTAAAAGCGTAACAGACATAATCAGAGCAAGAGTCAATACTTTACGAAATATCGTAAGAAACTTGCTAAGCCAATAGAGCAAATTTCTGGCATTATCTCGTAATGTATGAATTCTTGCTCTGAATATGTCTGTCATGGCAGTACAGACAAAAGTTTAGCACAGATTCATTGGGGTCGCATGACGGGGAGCCGCCATCTTCCCTCTGCGACAATCCTCCTTCGGTTTTGGGTGAGACCAATTCACGAAGTCCTGCCAACCAACTTTTTATTCAAAATGAAAATTCATGTCACATGCTTGATCAACCGACAATTGCGCTATAATCGTGATTGATTGTAACGTCTGCCCTGTGATTCAATGACACAATACTCACGATCTGACATCGAATCCCACTGGGGCTGCCGATTAGACTTCATCTCGTCGTTCAACACAACCTTCCCTCTTTAAATCGCCTTGAGCCACGGAGACTGACTGAACTCTCAGTCAGTCTCTAAAACTACTTACATCGAAAATTATTTCGGCTTTGCGTATGCAAGCCGTTTGATGGTCCGACCCGGCTTGGGGGATTTTTAGAGACAGCACCGATTCCCGTCCCCCGGCTAGACAATTCTCGGGGCTTTTACATGCCGGCTACAACAT